CCTTTGGGGCAATAAACTAAAAAGTTGATAAAATAGAACGATATTGCTCTAGCTGTATCTTCACGTCATCAACCCACTTATTTAACAAATTGCCACGAAGAGCATGCATAGTAGGAACTTTGTATCCAACACCCGTGCAACAAAGAGCATCAATTGCTGGTTGAAAATAAGGCGAATTTGCAGCATCGAAAGGAATAGACGCATCAATAAACCACTTTGCAATAGCAAGATCACACTTTTCTACCACTTCTTTACTTTGCATCACACTTTTTAAAGTAGGTTGAGCTCCCGGAGTTGTTCTGGGTAAAAAATAAGTACCAATGCGAGCATCATTCTTTTTAGATGCACCAATTCGTGGGTGCATTTGCATTTGCAATTCACCCCCCTCTGCAGAAAATGACTCACTTTCAGCCACATCTGGAGTTTTTCTTTTCTTGCTCCGCTCATTAAGATATTGATTCATCCGAAAACAAATTTATGTAGGAACCGACTTACAAATTTCAACATTTCCTACTACTCCAACCAAGTGTTGCTTTACCCTATGAATTCCACCTCCACCAAATGCTTTGTGACAGTAAATACAAATAAGATTTTTTCCATCAGGACTTTTAGTACAGTGTGCCCAAGCTATATCAGTCTTTTGTCTAACATTATGTTGAACTAAATTAGGAGTTGAAGAAGCTTCTTGTGATGGTGGTTGTGATGATGGTGTTTCAGAACATGTCATTTTCCTGTAAAACAGTTCAAAATTGCTACATTAAAATACACTTTAGTCTCATGTATTAGCATTAAACAGTTCAAGATTTTCCATCAAAAAAATTCAAGATTTTCCATCAAAACATCTTATTAGCATCAAAACAGTTCAAGATTTTATTAGCATTAAACATCTTATCATAGAACTACTGTGATAGAACTACTGTGATAGAACTACTGTGATAGAACTACTGAGAAAAACAGAATATATTTTTTACAAAAAAGCAATTAGAATCTTTACTTAGAATCATTACTTATTGCAGCATGTAGAACAAAGTGAAATGTAAAATGCACAACATTAAAATACACTCTAGGCCTATAATATAACAATGTTTTTAACATATTCACACATGACAATGCATCCATTTATCATACCTAGCAAATCCATATACAGGTTTTCTGCATAACAGAATTCCAAACATACACACTCATAGCAGTTTGGGTTCCATGACTAACACAAACTTCCATAACAAAATTCATTCATAGCATGCTAGCAATTCATAGGTCATAGCAATGTCATCCTAACACATTAACACAACAATAATTAAATGGAAACATAACTTAATTCTCTAACTGTTTGCTTCAAGCTAATTCTCCACAATAATTGTCACTACTATTTCTCCTTTAAGAGGATGTTAGGATTAATGTTTTGTTGTTGTAGGAAACTCAAAATGTTACACAGTAAACATCTAAACAAAGTGAAGCATTTAAATCTGCCTATCAAATTGCCCCACCCTCCGAGGAAACATAAGGCAGCCCAGTATATTACTCTCTATGGCTATACACAGGTGAGAAAATAAACCACTGCTTAGCATGTTCTTCACAATTACAGCAGAAATAAAACACATGAACACACAAACAGGTGGACCCGCAATTGGATTCCTGAGATACCAAAATTACCCAAAGAAAATCTCAACGACTAGCGTCAACTTAAGTTAGAATCCAATGTTTTAAAAAGCAAATACGGTTCAACTAGTTACATAATGAATCAGCATGGACTATACTCTATAGTAAACCTATTTGAATCTATTTGAATGGTTCGGTTTTGTCTCAGTTGGAGAGCTTTAAAACAGTCCAAACATGACCAGTAGGGAATACATTTTTGAATCGAAAACAATGAGAGCAGAAAAATCTTCTCAATTACATGCAGTTGCCCAGTTTCATATATTTAGTTTTCAATCCAGAGAATCATTAAGCTAAACTCAACCCAATATCCTTAAACATACACAATTTAAAGTTAAACACAATTTATGATACCAAAATTCATAGAGACATTTCATTAAACAATTAATAGACACAAATAGTAACAGAGTTTTTAAAACACTACTTTTAATCTTCTCTCCTTCATTCACCTACCTTGAGTCATAATGGTAAATGTTAGAGTGAACTGACTTGTTAGAAAACACATGGGCATATAATGTAAAACCCTTTATGGGTTCATACGAAATCAATTCAACAGAACAATTTCATCAGAAGATTAATATCAAACATGTAGAGGAGCATTGAACCCTAATTTAATCTTCAACAATTTAATGAAAACAGAGAGGAGCATTGAACCCTAATTTCAACGAAACAAAGTTAAATGAAAACAAAGAGGAACATTGAACCTGGAAATTTGAAACGATACAGAAACTGGAATGGTGAGTCGTTGGTATATTGCGGCGGAGAGAACGAACTTGCGCGGTGGTGGAGAAAGACCTGGAATTTTTAAATTTTTTATAACTTTTGCATTTAAATTTTAATTAAAAAATAAAAAATGCATTAGAACCGGTCCAACACTAAAATCGGTTTTTCTCGGTCCAACCCGGTTTCTCCCGATTTTTACTGGGTTGATGACAAAGACGATCAAACTAGTAAATCAGGTCGGTTACCGGTCCGATCCGATTTTTAAAACACGAACTATTATACTATTTTTCAAAATACTATTCTAAGAAAAAAAATGTCTTAAATCTTAATTATTATTATAAATACCTTAACTTTTAAACTAATTAATGTTTGTTTTACTATTATTTTTTTATTTAATTCAAAAATATTTAATGTTGTTAGTTAATTCATTAAATATAATTAGATATGATAAATTTTATTTTAATTATACATAAAATAAAAAAATTAATTATATATAATTTTAATTAGTATAAAATTAGTTATTTTTATTTATAATAGTCTCCGAAAAAAGTAACTTATAACAATGACTACTTTTAAAAATTAAATTGTTAGTTTATTTATTTCTTTTGTTAAAGATGTAATGCGTACATTTAAAAAAATGCTTAGATACAATTTTGGTCTATTTATTTTATTTGATTTATGAAATTGATTTTCATATTTTTAAATTTAAACAATTTTGATTATCTTATTTTAAATTTAAATGATTTTAATTTTCTCTCATACTTTTATATTTAAAATTAATAATATTTTTCATTTTTTAAATAACAAGATACTTGTTAAACCTGAAAAATCATCATCATATATATATATATATATATATATATATATATATATATATATATATATATATATATATATATATATATATATATATATATATATATATATATATATATATATATATATATATATATATATATATATATATATATATAGTTTAATTTTATAGATAAACATATAATTTAAAAAACAAACTTTTTTTTGATTTTTTTATAAAGAAATATAAAAAATAAAAATAAAATTATTTAAATTTAAAATAGAGAGATCAAAATTAATTTTTAGAATAAAAAAATTGGAACATCAAAACTACTATAATTTATCCTATATTCAAATGTTGAATTCGCTTTTGTCAAAGTAAAATCTTTAACCCAATAAAATTATCACTACTAATAATTTGGAAGAGCACTTTCTATTTTCAATAATGAAGTCACAAAGCTATATAAACTTTGCCTTAAAAAAATATAGAACCAATCAAACCGTTTGGTAAAGTTAAACTAAAAAAATAACTAAATTAACTGTTTACCAACAATGAAACTAATATAATTAAAGTCACAATATTAATTAAATACAAAGCAACAAAATTAGTTAATGTTGATTAACTATTAAGGTCAATTACGTAATTCCCAATACAAAAAGAAAGGGTATTTTTGACTTTTCACATTGGAATAAGATCCTAGCATTGTCGCAGGTCACTGTCGTTCAGATTTGTGATTGCTATTTTTTCCCTCTCTCTCTCTCTCTCCTCTGTCCTAAACATTGTTTAACGTTAGACTAAGAACACAAAGAAAAAGTTCAAGAAAAAAAAACCAAGTGAGTGAGAAAGACCCAGATGAGAAAAAAAATAAAGTTTTCAACTTTAGAATGTGAAAAAGTTTGAATCTTGAGATTCATTTTCCCTAGATAGTAACAGTAGCTCAACTGGGTCGGTTCGTTTTTCTCCATTAAAGGTTCTTCAAGAAAAAAGATGCTATCTTGAGGAAGAAAGAAACAGTGTTGAGGTGAAAGAGAGTGACTTGACTACTGTGTGTGAAGTTGAAAGGAGACAACAACATCGTATCAGAAAAAAAAAACATTTTTTATATATTTAGTATTGTGCTAAAAGTAAAGTAACTAGAGAGAGAGAGAGAGGAGTAGATCAAGAAGAAGGAACGAAATCGGTTTCAACTGTGTTCTCTTTCCTATAGAGGTAAACATTGTCTCAACAACTTGGTTCTGTGTCTTTTTGTCATTGGGTTGTGTGTGACTGTGTGTGCTTAGCTGTGTTTTTTTTTGGTGTGTTTTTGTTTTGGGTCAATGTTTGGTTTTTTGATTAAAATAAGGAAGTGGGAACGTGGTCTTGTTTGTCTTAGAGCAAAGACTGGTTTCACGCTTACTGAGCATGATTATTGATTATAGAACTCTAAACAATTTTTAATTCCTTAAAATACACAAATATTGGCTGTTGAGAGAATGGAGAAGGTGCTTCTTTGGAATTTGAGCTGTTTTTCCATCTTTTGAGACCCATGCTTGTCTCAATTTCCCTTGTTTTTAATTCTTAATCTATTCTATCTCTCTCTTGTTTAAGAGAGAGAAACAATTTGCTTAATCATATTCATCATGCTTGGTTTTGCTTTTTTGATTTGATTCTTGTTTGGTTTGTTTGAATCACACAAAACAATGCTGAAATGATGCTGTACTTGGTTTTTTGTTCTCTCAACTTTTTCTTTCAACCATAGGTTTAAAGTGTCTCAGATTTCGGATGCTAGTTCTAGTTTGTTTCTATATATGACGAAGAGCATGACTTCGGAGAAATTAGGTTGAAGATGAGTCTTCGGTTGAAGATGCAGAATCATCATCATCATCATCGCCATCCTTTGGCTTTGTCGAAGTTGCACGAACAAACGGGGAACAAACGATACACGTTCATTCAGGCGCATAGAGGTTGGCTTTTGAGGTTTTTGTTGCTATGGATTCTTCTGATGGCGATAATTAGTTATTGTATCTATAGCAATATGGATGTGGATTCGAAAGTTAGAAGGAAAGAGGTTTTGGGGAGTCTTTGTGATCAAAGAGCTCGAATGTTGCAAGATCAGTTCAGTGTTAGTGTTAACCATGTTCATGCTCTAGCGATTCTTGTTTCGACTTTTCATTATTACCGAAACCCTTCTGCTATAGACCAGGTTTGTGCTTTGAAAGTTTTGATCTTTGTTTTTTTTTGGCTCGACTCAATCTTTGATGTTTTTGAGGTTTTGTTTGTGTCGTTTCTCTTTAGGAAACTTTTGCGGAATATACAGCTAGGACTGCGTTTGAAAGGCCGTTACTTAGTGGAGTGGCGTATGCGCAGAGAGTGGTTAATTCGGAAAGGGATCGATTTGAAAAGCAACATGGAGTGGTTATAAAGACAATGGAAAGAGAGGCTTCGCAGGTTAGAGATGAGTATGCACCGGTCATATTTGCTCAAGAAACTGTCTCTTATCTCGAGTCTATTGATATGATGTCTGGCGAGGTAAAGAATAAAATTCATGAACCATTTCTATGTCTCGAGGTTTCTTTCTTTCTTTCTTTTTTTTACTTTACTTTCTCGCTTGCTCAATGCAGGAGGACCGAGAAAACATTATGAGAGCTCGAGCTACTGGGAAAGCTGTTCTGACTAGTCCTTTTAGGTTGTTGGGTTCTCATCATCTTGGTGTGGTTTTAACGTTTCCTGTTTACAAATCGAAGCTCCCTCCAAACCCAACAACCGAAGAGCTCATTAAAGCGACGGCAGGGTATTATCCTTGTTTCACTTCTTTTTCGGCTCGTTATTATCTTTTTTTTGTTTCAATAGAATGATGTGTTTAACGAACTTTTTAATTGGAAGCAGATATGTTGGAGGATCCTTTGATGTTGAGTCCCTTGTGGAGAATTTACTCGGTCAACTTGCTGGTCACCAAGCAATTTTGGTGAATGTATACGATATCACGAACTCTACTGACCCTCTTATCATGTACGGCAACCAATACGAAGAAGGTGATGTTTCTCTTGTTCATGAAAGTAAGCTTGATTTCGGAGATCCATACAGGAAACATCAAATGATATGTAGGTAGGTTCTTCTGACTTTTTTTTGTACATCACATTTTATCCAACGTGTTTTGCCGTTTTATCAGCAGAAAAATGCTTATGATCATACTTTAAAACAGGTATCACCAGAAGGCACCGACAAATTGGGTAGCTCTTACCACTGCATTCCTATTCTTTGTGATTCTTTTGTTAGTCGGTTATATTTTATACGGTGCTGGAAACCATATTGTCAAAGTAGAGGACGATTTCCATGAAATGCAGGAATTGAAAGTTCGAGCTGAAGCAGCTGATGTTGCCAAGTCACAGGTACTTTTCATGACATGTTCGAACATTCGCGCAACAATAACTAAAACTGATTTTTTTGTTTGTTTTTTATGTCAGTTTCTAGCTACCGTCTCTCATGAAATTAGAACACCGATGAATGGCATTTTAGGTAACTTCAAGATTCTTCTTCTCTCCCTGCCTTAAATATAAGATACGCGTTCGCACCTTTCACTTTCTTTCTCATCAATGATATTACTATTTTAGGAATGCTCGGTCTGCTTCTACGCACTGAATTGAATTCTACCCAACGGGATTATGCTCAGACTGCTCAAGCATGTGGAAAGGCACTGATAGCACTAATAAATGAAGTGCTTGACCGAGCTAAAATCGAAGCTGGAAAACTAGAGCTAGAAGCGGTTCCATTTGACCTTCGGTCCATACTCGATGATGTCCTTTCTCTCTTTTCCGAGAAGTCTAGACACAAAGGTTTAGAGGTATGTATGTCTAACCGAGCAATGATCTAACTTAGTTTCCTTTCTTTTTCGATGATCTAACTTAATTTTCCTTTGTTTTGATTCTTCTTTTGTAGCTGGCAGTGTTTGTTTCTGATAAAGTTCCGGATATTGTTATGGGTGATCCTGGGAGATTCCGGCAAATTGTAACAAATCTTGTCGGAAATTCTGTTAAAGTAAGCAAAATTTTCGATTTATTTGCATTACTATTATGCATGTTGTGTTGCGTTGATCGTATTTTTGATTAACTTTGATACGTTGCAGTTCACTGAGCGAGGACATATATTTGTTAAAGTCCATTTAGCTGAAAATCGAAAGTCCGCAATGAATGGAAAATTCGAGACTTTTCGAAACGGAGGATCTGAAGAAGTTATGCATATATCCGGTGGCTATAATCTGAAAACCTTGAGTGGATGTGATGCAGCTGATGAACGCAACAACTGGGATAATTTTAAGCATCTAATTGCCGATGAAGAGTTTTTCTGCGACGCATCGACTAAAAAAGTGGCCACTAACGAATCTTACGAGCAAGTAACTTTGATGGTCTGTGTCGAAGACACTGGAGTTGGAATCCCTTTCTCGGCACAGGATAGGATTTTCATGCCATTTGTGCAGGCGGATAGCTCAACTTCAAGAAACTACGGTGGTACCGGCATCGGCTTGAGTATCAGTAAATGCCTGGTTGAACTTATGGGCGGTGAAATAAACTTTATAAGCCGGCCGCAGGTTGGAAGCACTTTTTCATTTACTGCCGATTTTAAAATATTTAAGAAGAATTTAATACCCGACGTGAAGAAGGTTAATTATGAAGATCTACCTTCGAGTTTCGGAGGACTTAAAGCCATTGTTGTCGATGGTAAACCTGTAAGAGCTGCCGTGACTCGATACCATTTGAAGAGACTTGGGATACAAGCTAAAGTCGCAAATGCCATCAATAAAGCTGTTTCTTTATGCGGGAAAAACGGTTCTTTGACTACAGGGTAAGTTTTCATATTTATTCGATGTTTTACGCCTATGAACCACAATACTCGGTTCATTCACCGAGTTAAACTTTTTGGTTGTTGCAGATTATTCCAGCCCGATATTATTTTTGTCGAGAAAGATTCATGGGTCTGTGGAGAGGATGTGCGGCAACTAGATTGGAAGCAAAACGGACATATATTTAAGATGCCTCAAATGATCCTTCTTGCGACGAATATTAGCAACGACGAATTCGATAGAGTGAAATCCGCAGGTTTTAGCGACACCGTGATCATGAAGCCGCTGAGAGCGAGTATGGTGGGAGCTTGTCTTCAACAAGTATTGGGGACAGGCAAGAAGAGACAACTAGGAAAAGAAATGCCCAACGGTTCAACTTCCGTTCGAAGCCTTCTTTTCGGAAAGAAAATTTTGGTGGTTGATGACAACGGAGTGAACCGAAGAGTAGCTGCGGGCGCGTTGAAAAATTTCGGAGCTGACGTGAAGTGTGCAGATAGCGGCAAAGCTGCTCTTGAAATGCTTCAATTCCCTCACGATTTTGACGCATGCTTCATGGATATTCAAATGCCCGAAATGGACGGGTATGTCCGCGTTTGCATCGATCTAAACTAGGCTTAATGACTATTTCTGTGGAATCATTATCAAAACATTATTTTGCAGGTTTGAAGCGACGCGACGAATTCGGGGGATGGAGAAGGCGGCGGCGAACGATGAAGCGACGAAAAGTGAGTTCCACTTACCGATATTGGCGATGACGGCGGATGTAATCCATGCAACATATGAAGAGTGTTTGAAATGTGGAATGGATGGATATGTGTCAAAACCATTTGAAGAAGAGAATCTTTATCAAGCAGTTGCAAAGTTTTTCAAAACAAAGACTACTAGTACCACAATAGATTCATCATAACAAAATGTAGCATGTTATTGTGTATAAATTCTATTCTCCTAAGGGAAAGGGATGTGGAAAATTATGTAAATTCAATATTTTTCATATGCATCTCTCAGTACTTCCCTATTAGAATTTTTTATTTATTATTTTTGTAAAATGGTGTCGTATAAAATTTGGTTAGTGAAACATGTTGAAAAGTAGATTATTTGAAACGTGGTTATGGAGCAACTATGATTCCGTAGGGACAAGTAGTGTTCCTGTGTGGAGTACGGATGTTGGTGATGTAAAAGGCACATGGTTATGGTTAGATATTGGTTTGGTTTCAATCAAATCCAACACCAACTTTGTTGTTTGTTTTGTGCCACTAGAACAGAAAAGTGAAAGGACCCTCTTCTCTAGCTCCAAACATGTGTCGTCTTGTGCTTCTTTTTATGGATACAGTTGTGTCCTCTTTTTCTTCATATCATATTTCTTTTCCTGATCTTTTCTTGTTTCATTTCTGAACCTTCTTACAATGCTCTTGTTTAGTAATCTTACACATTGATATTATTACATGCTCACCTTGTCATAAAGTTGGGCCTTTGCAATTTGCATAGTCCAACTTGAGAGAGTATTGTTAGAGCAAGAGCTTGTTTGCTCTGCCAGAAATGATGAGGGAAAGAGGAATATAGAGATTAAAGGAGTCAAGTGCATTCAATTGTAATTAGTTGATAACATGTTGGGCTCAGGCTACACCATTTATACAATATACAAAATAACTATCTCCTCTTTTAGCGTATTAATGTCAACTTGAATGCATGGTAAGCGTATTAATGTCAACTTGAATGCATGGTAAGTAGATAAGCAGGGGTGACAATTTGATCTATTAAGACAAAATATATTAAATCTATTCATTAAAATATCTATCCAATTCATCAACTACATTAAAATAAATTAATAGATTGGATTAAATCCATCCATTTGTATGCATGGATAAATTCAACCTATCCAACATATTTTAATGATCCAATGGATAATTTTTATCTCTCTTAGATTTATTTTTAAAAAATAACTAAAAATAGATTTTCTAAAAATAAAAATTAATTTTTTTTTCAAAAAAAAACGATTATTTTTTCAAAAAAAAAATATTTTTTGGAAAATATAAAAAGTCAATTTTCCAAAAAATATTAATGGATGAATTTGAAATACATAACCAGTAGTAGATCGTCCACTAAAAATATCCATCCACTAAAAATATATTAATGGATGAATTTGATGAATTTTATCCTTAATAGATGAATTAGATTGTATAATTTAAAAAAAAATTAATGAATTTTTAATGAACTAATGAATTATTTTGATTCATTCATTAACAATCCAATCCATCCATTTTGTCACCCTTTTAGATAAATGGTGCATGATATTAATACAAATAATACAAACATAATTTGGGGCAAAAAAAATGTATATCCAAGATAAGATACTACCTTGATCATTTTAAAAAGATTACAATTATTTATATTTTTAAAAGAATCAATCTTTGTGCTCATGCTCTTGTCAGAAAGGGACTCTCTCTTACTTAAGAGACTTGTATTTTTCATTGTTGTCTGTTGCTCCCCACCTAAAAGAAAATTTGGCGGATGTTCCCACCCCTAGACTAGTGTTTGTATAGTTTTTTTTAGACTTTCACATTCCTTCTCATAAAAAAAAAACTATTTCATCCGTTTAGGGATTATTCATGCTACAATTCAATAAGAAAATCAATCGAATCAAATAAAATCATAATAAGAAATCATTTAAATTAGTTTGAAATATTTATTTAGAATTTTGATCCGTACTAAAACGTTATAAGATTTTTTTTAAAAATCAAACTGGAATATTTTTTAAAAATAAATAACCATTTTAACATGTTTTAGTTTTTTTTTTTACTAATAAGCATCTTTTAAGAGTATTATTTTTTTCACCTTTAAGAGTGTTAGATCACCATGTTGAAAAGTCATAAAAATCTCTGAATTTTAGAGATGTATTTTCGAACACACTCAAAATACACACATTTTAACATTTCGTGATTGAGTCATCCCATGTTTCTAAAAAATGTATCCAGAGATACATCTCCGTAACTATATTAGGGTTTATCTAGAAGTGCATCTCTGAAACAACTCTTATTTCAAAACCAAAAGTTTACGGAGATGCATATCTGAAATGCACTTTGTAAGCTTAAATCAGAAATCAATAACAAATGGATACAGAAAGTTGAAAAAAAAGTATTAATATAAAAATATGCCACATTACATAGATAATCATAACATAAATATGTAACATAATATAGATCATTATAAAATAAATACATAACATAAATTTAACATCACGCATGAGCAGTACATTGCAACATCTTCAGAATATTTTCGGTCGATCTTACAATCTTTGCATTCAGCTCGACCGAAACTTCATGACAATTAAATGTATTCTACATTACCCTTAAATTTGCATTAGTTTCTACCTGAAACTTGTTGAACTGAATCTTCTATTCATTTTCAATCGAGGGTGAACGATACTCGAGTTTCATAATTATTCTATTGTATAAGTATTGTAGGAGATTCTCTATTATGAATTTCAGATCTACAAAAGAGGTATACTCATTGAACTTAAATTCAATTGAGGGATTCACACCGTTGAAGTAGACAAATGTCACATGTCAATATATGTTCATTCTGGTGTGGTGTATTTTTGTGAACAACATGAAATGAGAGACCACATATTTATACAAGTTTTAGTTTATTATGCACCTTAGAAACTGATCTGGAGTGATCAGAATGGATCGTCTTGCCCCTTATTTTAGGGCAGCAACAATGGTTGTAGGAGAGGAGGGGGTGTACCTGCAAGGTACTTCGATGCCAAAGTAAGTGTTTGGGCTAACAAGAGAAAGCAAGTATGATTGTTTAGGTATGAGCAAGAATGATTAGAATACCTGACCCTCTTAAGAGAGAGGGAATTTATAAGTTTTCCCCCAGCGTGGGGCCACAGTCTCCTATGTAATCGAAATATCTGGTCGACCAATGGAGGATTGCCAGGTAGAAGATCTAGCGCGTGATCTTTTATCTGGTCCAACTGTCTCCATGACTTTCGGAGGGACAGTTGATCGCGTGAACTGCCAAGCGTGTGAGGGGCACGTCCCCAACAGCTATATTGTGCCTAACAGCTATATTGTGCCCAATGGTCGTATTGGACCTGACCTTAAGTTAGACTGGATTGGGCCTTTCCTAGATGTGGGGCAGGTGCCAGTCCAGTCCAGAACAAGAGCCCTCTAAGTCATTGCTTCGAGGCGAGGAGTAATGACTTGAGTTAGCGCAACTTGTGCAACTAAGGGGCATGAACCGTATAGTAGGGAGGTCTTTGAGATCGCTATTTATTGAGCGAAAAACTTTGGGGACGAGTAGGTGCATAACATTGATATGGTCGACTGTGGGTCGCTCGGGACTTCCTCGGAGATGAGAAGTGTGTTTTGTGTCGACCAGTGATGTTCTTAGGATGCAGAAAATATCGATGAGGCACTTGCTCAGACATTGATCTAGTGACGTCGTCGAGGAGAATGTGTCCACAGGGAGCTAAAAAGACTTGTCTTCTTATAAACACGTGAGGGGTCAGTTTAAGGATGCCAAGTGGCAGCCACTCCGTGCCACGTGTGACAGCGCAATAAATTTGGTTTAAGGCCTAGGAGGCTAGGAGGTTAGGCAATGATGGCTTTTTGCTCTTTGCGCTTCCCCATGCGAGCAAGGGAGCCTATATAAAGGGGCAAAGTTTTATTTCACACCACGAAAATTTCTCTTCTCCTTATCTTTCGCTCTGCAACACTTTCGTCTCCGCCATCCCAAGATCTTCATCTTCAACCTTTGAATATTCAAGTAAGTTCTTTAATTTCTATGAATTTCTGCAACTTGTTCTTGAATTCACCGGTGGTTCAAGAATTTTTCGGTTGAAGTTCATGTATCTTTTGAAGAACACATGAACTTTTTTGGGAAATTCATGAAGGTTTCATAGAACTTAAGATTAGGGTGTTGTATGCTTGTAGATCTTTCTAGGTAGTAGTGTATGATTGTTTTATGTTTGTCGTCGGGCAGGGGTGTCCTCGTAGTTGAGGGCTTTGCTTTTGGATGCCTGACAGGTTTGGGTAGTTGCAGGATTCTCCCATTTAGGGTCTTTATAAGTAGCGGGGACGTATCCTCGATGTCGGTGACGCGTCTCGCTGAGACCCCTTGCCGTTGATAAGGGTCTGAGTCGAGGAGACATCCTTGCACTTAATCCTTGCCCTTTCACTTGATTTATGGTGGAATGGTGGATTTGATCTTAGTCGAATTCACTATTGCTTCCTTCGCTTTTCATGTGAAATGCATGGTCGTGATGACGGAACCGTCTCCGAAGTTGGGGTAAATATTAACGAAGATGTGCCTCCCACTGAGTATGCTAATGTGTGGGTGGCTGAAGGGCATCTTAGTTGGATCGCCCTTTGTAACGAAGTCCACATTTACCGAGGAGGAGGCCAGTAACTTCGATCTCCTCGAAGATAGAGCTGAAGATGCGCCTATGAGTTGGAGGGCGATTAGCCTGATGGAGAATGACCGGATATGCTCGGTGTATATGGGGAGGAGATTTCCCATGTATGAATTCTCCTTTAGGGAAGCGGGGTATCGTTTTCCCTTTACGGATTTCCAGAGGGCGATATTTTGCCACCTTGAACTGTGTCCTGCCCAACTCCACCCGAACGCTCTGGTGTTCATTCGAGCATTTAAATTGGTGTGTCATTACCTTCGGATAGGAGCTATTGTTGAGCTCTTCTTTTGCATCTTCCAGCTGCAGAGGAGCGTTTCAGAATCGAAGCAAACCTGGGTGTCTTTCAAGCAGCAGAACAGGCTGTTCTGGCCGTACTTGTAGTCTGTCAGAAATTTTAAATTTAGGTTTCTGGTTGTAAATCCCCTTTCCGAAGCGGCCAATAGCTCTTTGGTCACGATGGAGATGCTAAAGGAAGATGGTCGGAAAGTGGT